CCCGCGGACGATGGAACAGCACACTGGCCGTAAGAGGGCTCAGCACAGGAGCCTGGGTGGGAGAAGGGTCCGTGGGTACTGGCCATCTCAGCCTGGGGAGCCATTCATGCTGAGGGCCCTGGCCTTGGTTCTTGACTCCATCAGTGCGGGTGGAGGGAGGAGTTCCAGAGGCGAGCAGTTCAAGCGGACAAAACGAAGAAAAGGAGCCGAAGGTCAGGCCTGGCTCAGGCTCCAGGTACCCGGGAAAGGGCAGACCAGCGGAGAGGGGTGCTGAAGCGTGAGGCCCTGCAGCTAGCTCTTGGGGCTCAAAGAAGGGGCCCCCTGTCTGTCGGCCGGCCCACGATGCACAGCAGGCAGGCAGGAGGGGAGAGCGGCAGCCCGGGGCAGCGCGCAGCTCCCAGTAGAGCCCTAGTCGATGCACTCCATGACGTGTATCTGCAGGGTGTCTATGTCAGGGGCCTGATACTGGCACTTGGGGCAACAGAAGTTGAGTGGCTCCTCAGGGGGGCTTCTCCTCTGGCTGGGCAGGGCCAGTTGAAAGGAGTGGTGAGCTGGGGGAGAGAAGAGGTGCCAGTTGGGGTGGGCTGTGTGTGTGCCCCGTCACACAGACTGCACAGAGGAGAGGGGCAGAAAGTCCTGAAACTCAGTGGGACCTTGGGATCTCGCCACAGCTTCTCCTTCAGCCCCACCCCAGGATGCACAGCGCAGAGGAACTCTGGGGAGGCCAGACATGACCGCCCCTCACAGAATCCTTCTCCCAGCACCCGCCCTACCCACCCCTCCTCTGGCAACCCACTCACTCGAGGCAGGGGCTAAGGGGGCCTGGGAGACCTCTACGTGTCGCTTCCTCATGTCTTCAATCCTTTGAGAAGAGAAATGGTCCAATGAACACATAGGAGTCAGTCTCCGGCACCAGAGATACAAAGCTGATGGCAGGCCGGCCGGCGGGGCAGGAGGCGGGGCGAGGCCAGCTCACCCACCAGGACAGGCCCCAAGCCCCGCCCCACCCCTCATGGGCCCCGCTCCAAGGCCCACCTGGCCGATTCCTGGCAGCTGGTCTTTAACCTGCTGTACTCCCTCTGCAGCTGCTCCAGCTGTTCCTGCAGGAACTCCTTCTTCTCAGCCAGCTTCTCCCGGGCCTGCCTCTCAGCCTGGAAGTCCGCCTTGTAGATATCCGCCTGGCAACGACAAGAGAGGGGCAGTGTCCACCGTCTGTTGGCCACATACAGGACACTCCATGCTGGACACAGGGGCAGTGGCAGGGAGTGGCGCAGAGCCCGCTCTTGCCCTCCCAGAACTCATGGCATGAAGTCACCCCAAGGGCATCGAGAGGTCGAGAAACATCGCAAGAGGTTCAAAGAGCTTCTGAGAAGCCGCTGCAAAACAGCAGCAGACACGCCAGGTCCCAGTGCCAGCAGGCCCAGTCTGGTCACCCACATGCCGGCCACTGGGCAGAGCCCTCACCTGGGCTTTCAGGACTGGAACCGTCTCCATCACGATCTTGTGCTGCTCAGCCTCTTCCTTCAGTTTGTCAATCAATTCCTGTTTGGCCACCAGGGCCTCCTCGGCCTGCTGGAGCTGCTGCTTGAGATCTTCCAGCTGTGATCCCTAGAGGTGGGCAAGGGGGAGCTGACGGAGCCCCCAGGCCAGCTGCTACTCCAGGCCAGAAGTACCAAGAGGAATGAAACATCGGCCCTGGCCGGCCTGTACTGGGGTGATGCTAGCCACAAGATGCCCCTGTGTCCAGGGCACAGGAGAGGTGGAGGCTGGAAGACGTCTGTGAGATCGTCTGGCACAAGCTCCCCACAAGGCTGACGTTACCTGCCCAGCTAGACAGCCCTCCTCTAACCCTTCAAGGGACAGGGGTCAGACTGCCTCCTAAGGCTACCTGCTCTACACTAGGCTGGTCTCCCACACTGATGCTCCACCATGTACCTGCTAAGCTGAGACCCACTGGTCCTTCCACTCTGCCACCTGGTCAAAGGTCTGCTGGTCCCCTACAGTTGCCCCCTGCTCCCCACACACACACAGACCCACTCACACACAGATGCACAGACATGCACCCACCGCCAAGCCTTCCCTCTACAGATCAAATTACCACAGTTTTATAAGCAACTCTTCCTCATGTGGCCCAATTTCACGCTGTACCCTTATATCTCTCCTGGGTCTAGTGAAGTTTGACTACATCCTTCTGAAAACATGACCAGTAGAACCTGCACCCAGTACAGGTCCGAAGAATACAAACTAGAAATAGGCTCCCAGCCAACTTCAACGTCGGTATGGAAACCTTCCCAGGCAAAGTCAAGCCAGGAGCCCAGCTGGGGACGCCCAGCAGGACGCCCACTGACAGGAGCATGTTCCTGCCCATGCAGGGAGCATCCCAAGGCCCCGCCTGGGTCGCCAGGGGCAGCGAGCGGCACAGCCATCTCCTGGCTCTGAGTGGTCACTCTGTGGCCCTGACAAAGCTCTAGGATGAGCTGCGCGTCCCTCCCACAATCCGACTCCGTCAGGCCTACTAAGGTAGAGCCTTGCGTGCCGAGATCCCTGACCCGGGGGCAGTAGGCCCTGGGCTCTTCTCTGCCCCCGAGCCACGGGGAGGGGGGCGAGGGGGAGGGCGGGCAGCCCCGGTAGCTGCAGTGATGCAGCCTGCACTCACTCGGCTCCGCTCGCTGCTCACCGCGCTGCTCTTGATGTGGCTGTCGTACTCCTGGAAGAGCTGGTGATAGGCCACCTGCAGCTGGGCCAGCTTCCGCCTAAGGAGAGGGAGGCACGGCTGGTCCTGATCCAAAGCTGCTGTTCCTGCTTCCAACGCCACCCTCTTTCTTCCTGCCACATCCCCAGACCAGAATGTGGCTTCCAGGGTGGCTTTGAGCCTTAAAGGCCATCAGGCGTGAGGCAGGCTTTGCTAACTAGTTAATGTCATTTTCCTTCAACTGAGGTTTTTGAAAAGTATAAGAAAGGCTTATAATAAAATGGAGCTGTCCGGTACTGTTGAGAAAAGTCACCTTCGGGGGTGAGTGTAGAGCTCAGGGGCAGAGCGTGTGCTTAGCCTGCACGAGGTCCTGGGTTCAATCCCCAGCGCCTCTGCTAAGGGGAAAAGAACAGTCAACTTCATGAAAAACATAGAAAAGCAGGGTGACCATTCGAAAGACGACTCGAAAGGCAGGCCAACAAAAAAAGGATCCCGGATCGGATGCTGTTAACGTGCGGGCCTGAGGCGGGAACGTGGCTACGGACTGGAGAATGGACAGTGTCACCCATCAAAGATGGGCCGTTTGGGGGTGACCATGGTGGGGGACAGAGTTGGACCCCCAGAGGGCAGAAGGCACTCACTTCTCCTCCGAGGCAGCCTGGCGCTCCATGCGCAGGGCGGCCTCCATGCTCTGGTTCTGCATGCGCAGCTGGTCCACCTGCACGCTGTGCCGCTGCTGCAGCGCCTCCCGCTCACTCTCCAGCTGCCGGGCCTGCTCGCTGGCTGCCCGGGCCCTGGTGGGGGGGCGGTGGGGAGAGGTCACAGGATCCCTGCTGCGCAGACAGACTGCCAGCAGCAGTCAGAGCGCCAGAAGCCGGGCGCGGGGAGAAGTCAGAGTGGAGTGTGACCTAGAGGGGGAGACCTCCAGGTGTCACAATGGAGGCACTGTCACTGGAGACAGGGACAACGGCAGGGCACCTGGTTGGGGGTGGCACATATGTGTCAAGGCAGGGGCCCACAAGGCCACCAATTGCGGACTGCGAGGACACCTGGGCCTTGGGTTCGGGCTGATGACACCCATCAGGGAAGCCCTTTTGAAGGGCTTGGTCCCGGGGGAGAGGAGCCCAGGGAACTGCCCAAGGAGTGCTGACAGGGGACCAGAGCAAGCCCAGTAGAGGGGGCTGGGACAGACTGGAAGGAAAGGAAGTAAAGACAGCCAGCAAAGACGGGCCTTTCTAGAAGGTGGGGATGGGGGAGGTGAGAAAGGGGATGGGGCAGGGGGAAGGGCCCTTTCCCTCTCCATCACTGTTCTAGAAGAGGCAAGGAGGTGGCTGGTCCACCTCAGCGGCTCATCTGGAGTCCCAGAAGTCCACACCCACAAGCACAGCCTCCCCTTGCCCACCGGAGAGACAGCCGGGGCCTTGACAGAGAATTCCTCTTGCCATTGGCACTGCTCCAGTGGGTGTGGATGCCAAGATGCCCAGGCCCCCAGGCCCCCGTCTCCACACTTACACCCCACACAGCTCCCTAAATCTCTAGGTGCACCCTTCAAACACATCACCCTGCTGTCCCCAAGGCCTTCCTCAGTCCCCACTGTGGGGCAACACTGGCTGTTTCTGCATGGGAGGTGGTGTTTACTGGGGATCTCCACTGGTCTCACCTGCCAGGGGCCCTAGAACAAGGAAATGGGCCCTTCCAATGTGACAGGCCTGGGCTTCAAAGGGCCACCATGCATACACAGTTTGAAGCTGTTAAAACGGCCATGCCAGCCAAACAGTGAGACAAGCAAGAGCCCGGCCTGAGAGGCCCAGCTCAGCACTTAAGTGCTCGAGCACGTGGCAGAGGACAGGACGGGACCCAAGAGCCTACATCCTGTAGGGTCATTAATGGACCAAAATCGGCTGCAAAACTGCACTAATGGCATCAGGCATCCAGCAGCTTCTTTTATGTGCACAGAAAAAAAGATACGCAGCAGAGACACCAAACTGTCTTCAGAATTACACGTGTGCCTTTCAGAAAGCTGGGGGCACAGAAGAGGGAAGACAACAGAATGTGGCCGGCCAGCCTTCCGTGCGCTCCTCCGGTGCGGCGTTTCCCAGGGGGAAGCAGGCTCCCGCCTCTGGCGATGGGAAGGGCGTCTCCACCACCCCCCCCCGCCCCGTGGAAAGAATAAAACCATACGAGCATCTCAATAGATGCAGAAAAAGCTTTGGATAAAGCTCAACACCCACTTACGGGAAGTTCCTGCCGGCTCCTCTAGCCTCCCTCAGGAAGGCGCCCCCGACCCTACCCAATGCGCCCTGATCCCCCACAGCCCTGGGAGAGCTGGGGCCACCCCTATCAGCTGCACCCAGCCTTCTGGAGGGCAGCAGCTGGGCGCCCTGACGATCACACAAACAGCCACGCCCTCTGACCCAAAGACCCCGCTTA